ATAAAAATATATTTTTTAAACATGTTTTAATTGATATACGATTATGTATGTTAATTTGATAAATGTTTAAAATGAAACATTTAAAAGTAAATGACATAAAGTAAATTAATTAATTAATTATGTGGTATAAAGTGTAAATTTAAAATTATAATTTAAAAAAAATTGGTTGTGAGAGGGTGAGTGTATGTGAAAGGGTGAATGTATGTGAGGATGTGAGAGAGTGAGTGTATGTGAGGATGTGAGTGTATGTGAGTAGAAGGTGAAAAATGGTATTTTGGTCTTTTAGTATTTTAAGACTTTTATTAAATTTGTTTAATAAGATAGTAAGATAAGATAAAGATATATATAAGTGGGTGATATTATAATGATATAAATAAAATGGGCCTGGTTCGGGTTAGGCCCAACTTCTGTCCATTCCAATCCCTTCCACCTTATCTGACTACACGTACAAGTACAACAATGGCGTAACCCACTCAATCCTCTATCACTACCACACACAAGCAGAAATGGCGTCCTTGGCACAGCAAATTGGTGGTCTGAGATGCCCATCTCTATCAACTCATCTATCAAGAAGATCCTCTTACAGAAATGATAGTATTAATCACACAGTGAAGAGAATTCAAACAACGAAGGCTGCTGCTGTTGTATCTAACGCCCAGACGAGAGAGAGAATGAAACTGAAAGAGATGTTTGAAGATGCTTACGAGAGGTGTCGCACGGCTCCGTATGAAGGTGTTGCGTTTACTGTTGATGATTTTCACAATGCCATCGAGAGGTTCGACTACAATTCTGAACTTGGATCTAAGGTATATAGCTAAGTGTCTCCTTGAACACAAAACCAATTATGTCTTACTCTCGAAATTCTTACGGATTTTGTTGCGAATTTAATAACAAACAAGGTTTTATTCTTGTACAATTCAATGAGCTGATAGCTTTCTGTTGGGCATTATAAAGTTCATATCAATTTTTGACATCCAAATTCAAAACTATTGGAGTAATCTTTAGCTATTAAAATTGGACAAGAATGATGTTTCTTGTTTTGGGTTGTGATAGCGGATATATTTAGGGTATGATTTGTGTCTACATTTAGGTGGAATGGATTGTATGATAGCTTTGTGTTAAACGCTAATGCCTAATTTAATTTGATTTTCCAACATTTCAATTTTCTGAGTACTGTTTGAAGATGTGAATGTGGTTATCTTTACTTGATGATAACGTGAATAACAAAACAGAGTAAAGATAACCACAAGGGTGTGCCTGATTGAGAGCTTGACTCCAAAGGTCAAAAGTACATGGAGGTCTCAGGCTCAAATCCAAGGAGGAATAAGAATCCCCTGTGGCCACGGAGGTTCAAATGCGATTACTCCGGGCTGTCTGCAAAGCAGGTGGTCGCCCTAGGATTAGTCGGCTAGCATAGCGGGTTGGATATCCAGGTTAATAGAAAAAACAGAGTAAAGATGAATGAGGTCTAACATTTATGGGTGAATCAAGTTTCATTAATTTCAGGAGTTGTACATTGGGATCATGCTATTAGCCTTCCTGTAAATTATGGTGGGATCATGCTATTAGCCATGGGTATGATTTGTGTTTCAAGTTTTTCAATCATTTTAGTGGCATTTTAATCAAATAAGTTTATGAGCCACTTACATCAAGGGAGATTTGATGATGATAATGATGCCATCTTAATAAAGCAAACCAAGCCAAGAGAATCTAGTAAATCTCACAAATGGGATCCGGGTAGGGTAAGATGTATGCAGTCTTTCTTCTACCCCAAAGGGTAAAGAGGCTGTTTCGATGATGATGCCATCTTAATGTATCTTCAAAATTTGGATCTCAAAACACTTCCCTTTAAGTCTTAAATTATGAGGAACGGGTTTTGGTGTTCTTTAGTTCTTTTCTTGCTTAATTATTTCGACGAAAATGAATGGTTAAGACTTAAGGAAGGTGAGGATCAATCCCTATTATAAGTCCCTTCCTAAAGTGTAAGTTATTTATGGAGGGGAAGTTTGTTAAATTAAATGGAATAATTGTCCACCAAAATTATATCCTATCTAGGATCCATTTGGTCATTTAACTTAATTGAACCAATATCAATACGCTTAATTATTCAAATCCATATTACAGGTTATATTCATTGGAACTGGATTTGGAAGTAAATTTGTTCATTGGATGAGCAAAACGAGTTCCAATTCGTATTCTAGACCTGGAGTTGATTTTTGCTGCACCCAAAACCGTATAATGAAAAATTTAGGAGCATTTGACATTTCCAAAAGATGATACGAGTAAACCCATGCTTCACTTTGGATCTAAGAAGGAACTTTATAAAGAAAATGGAGAATCCCCGTTCAAGAAGTATCCATTTGTGCAAAGAAACAGATGCCACATAGTTCTTTCTCTCTTTGTTTTCATAAAAGACAACTTATGATTTGTAAATTGGAACCTTCTCGATTCCAGTATATATATATATATATATATATATATATATATATATATATATATACACGTATGTGTATCAGTGTTACCCTGAGTTGGTCTTCTTTAAAATTGGCATTGGAAGAATGTTTTGATGAATGATGGTAATTGCTATGGTGTAGGTCAGAGGAACTGTTTTCAATGTAGACGCAAATGGAGCATATGTTGACATCACAGCAAAGTCCTCAGCATTCTTGCCAGTTAGGGAGGCTTGTATTCATGGTATAAAGCATGTACAAGAGGCTGGCATAGTCCCCGGTATGCGTGACGAATATATTATCATTGGTGAAAACGAACATGATGATAGCTTAATCTTGAGCTTACGTCAAATTCAGTATGACCTGGCATGGGAGCGATGTCGACAGCTTCAAGCTGAAGATGTTGTTCTTAAGGGTAAGGTAAGTAATAGTTGAAAAAGGGAACCATAGTTTCACTTTCTTTGACCTACTATCATGTATTTTAAAATGTTTCATATATGCATAATCTCTTGTGTTTTCCCTTGCATCTGTAAAGGTTGTTGGTGCCAACAAAGGTGGAGTTGTGGCGATTGTCGAGGGACTTCGTGGATTCATTCCGTTTTCACAAATTTCCTCGGTTAGTTCCCTTGATCTGGATCATAAAGGATTATCTTTTAAAAAAATTATTTGATTTTTAAAAAAATTATTTTATTTTAAAAAAATTTCATTTGGTATTGGTTTGGATGGAATTTTTTCTTGATTCATGTGTTATAACGAAGTATTCTTAACATGATACGTGTTTAATGTGTCATGTAATTATCAGAATTCGAGTGCAGAAGAGCTTCTTGAGCAGGAAATTCCGTTAAAGTTTGTGGAGGTAGACGAAGAACAATCAAGACTAATTTTGAGTAATCGCAAGGCGAGGGCTGATAGCCAGGCACAGTTGGGAATCGGGTCTGTTGTGACTGGTATTGTTCAGAGCCTGAAACCGTATGGTGCTTTCATTGATATCGGTGGAGTCAATGGGCTTCTCCATGTTAGTCAGATCAGCCATGATCGTGTCTCTGATATCGCCACCGTCCTTCAACCTGGCGATACTCTTAAGGTACTAGTAGTTGTTCGTTTAGGTTTGTCTAGCTGTTAACTTCAAGAGTCCCTTTAGGGTTAACTTCATAGCCCTCTCAGGGTCTTCCAAATGTCTTAGTTTTGTAATGTAGCAAAAAATTATTGTATGCAGGTCATGGTATTGAGCCACGATCGTGAGAGAGGCCGAGTTAGTCTATCTACTAAGAAACTGGAGCCGACTCCTGGAGACATGATTCGCAACCCTAAGTTGGTTTTTGAGAAGGTAACAACTATTTAGCTTTAGTAAATATTAGTCTTTCAGTTTATTAAACATGATTCTGTGGGGTGTTTTGTAGAACCCATGAAAGGAACTATCTGTTCTTAGTTGCCGCCTTGTTTGAGTCATGGTATTATGTGAAAGTTTTTGAACCGAACTAAGCCGAGCCAGTTGGATGTTCTTTTCTGTTAATTATGAATAATTTTTGTTAATTTTAGTAAGAAATGCAAGATCATCCTAGGCCATGTCTGTCAACCGAAAACCAGCTTATTTTTTAAACTTATTAAAAAAGTCTTGTTTGAGTAGTCATAAGCTAGCTTTTCGAAAAGCTACTTAAAGGTAGCATTTCAATATGCTTTTTTTCTTCTTCCAAATCATACCCCTTGTATTTTTGTCCAATTAATTTATCGACATGCCCTTTTGGGTCATTTTACAATGTGATATCTAGCTTATTAGCTACTTTATCAGCCAACTGATAGCTTATTAACTAGCTTGTGTCCTTATATTTCAGGCGGAGGAGATGGCTATGACCTTCAGGCAGAGAATTGCTCAAGCAGAAGCCATGGCTCGTGCTGACATGCTTAGATTCTCACCTGAGGTATCACCATTTCGTTCTTTTTATCCTACAAACAAACAATGGAAAGTAGAAAACGTTAACCAAGATATCTATCCTTTTGCAGAGTGAACTGAGTTTGAACTCAGATGGGATATTAGGTCCACTCGGCTCGGACCTGCCTCCGGATGGTTTGGATTTGAACGAAAGCCCCCTGCCCGAAGGTTCATCATAAACTTCACATATATGTTGTTGTTCTTTGTAGTTAATGTAGAAAGATTATTGAAGTGATTTCACATTTCCATCATGTAAAGCAGTCTGTTTTGTTATAAAACATTCGCACGTTCAAGCTACGTGCACAGTGCACCATTCTACGCGACACTCGTGTAATGATATGTATCATTTAAAGCATATAACAGGCTCTCTGTTTCATTCTCTCTTCTCTTGTATGTCTAAGTCAAGTTGCATAAACTAGAGATGGTCATCCATAACCAAATTTTTGTAACTGGTCCCGGTTAATTGCAACCGGGTCCAGCCCAACTGATCGGGCCTGTTACTAACTAGTCGGTTACACCGGTCTAAAAGAAAATCGGGCTTATACGTGGCCTTTGGTAACAAGTCTTATAACCAGGCCTTAGGACCGAATGACAACATTTCTTTTTCATCTTTTTGTAATTTAGTTTAATTATTATATTTATATGTAATAAAAAACAGGTTTTCATAACCGGTTAGCCCAACCAGTTACTATCGGTTACTCTTTTTCTGGTTGACAACCGGTTATAACCGATTAACCCCTAGGGGGTCATGACCTTGCCTGACCGGTTACCTGTTTTGCACATTCCTAACTGATAACCAAGCATTTGGTATGACTTCTCAACCTAATGTTTTGGACAACCCAACCCAAACAAAAGTAGAAATCAAATTGTATAGGTTGGGTTGGTCAGGTTAAAACGTTGGTACATCACTATACAACCTGGCTAAGCGATGATGTTTATATGAAGTAAATTTGAAATGAGAGCATATAAGGGTAATAATTAACCTAAGAGATAATAAAAATTGTTTTCATGAAACTTTCTATTAAGGGTAACAATTAAATGTATCAGTTGAGGAGTTAAGAATCCTATTAAATACATGGTATAGAAAGGTAGATGTTCATCGGGTTGGGTTGAATTCAAATAACCCACTTCCAATTCAAATAACCCACTTCCAATTCAAATAACTCGATTAGGTAACGAGTGGCTTCAAGTTGGGTTAGCCAGGTTGGTCTGATTAGATGGTTTTTGGTGCATCCCTAGTAAAAACGATTGTTTCTAACCGCTAGTCTTTGCCGATTATTCATCCTAGCCGTAAACCTATCTTTCTCCGAAAAATTTATAATCAATGTAACTGGTTCTAAGGGCCAATGCCATTTTTTTACCGTATTTTGAAATTCTAACGTAATTTAATTACTGAAATAAACTTATAAGTAAATCACTGTTTTGGTACCTGAGGCTTGTTATTTGTTATGAAATTGGTCCTCTATCTTCTTTGATTATAAAAAGAACCATCCACTTATTTAATTTGTTTTGGATTTGGTCCCTTGTGTAACGACCACCTATTTTTTGTTGTCAACCTCCATCATGTGCGCTGCAAGCGAGGGTAATTTTGTCTATTCATATTTCTTTTTCTTCTGCACTAATTCCTTCTCTTTTAATGTCATTTTTCCCAACAAAAACCCCACTCCTCCTTCAACATAGAAGCATCCAAGCATTTAATATACAAAAATGATGTTGTGCTACTGTGGTGCAAATACGGTTGTGCATATATCCTGGACAAGTTCAAACCCAGGCCGAAGATTCTTCGCATGTTCACAAGTTGTAAGGTTTTTTTTTTGGGTTTAACCATTCCTTTGATTAGCCTTAACCCTTTGCCCCTTGATTATTACAGGGATCCATTCATCGATTTATTGGTTGGGTTGATCCACCCATGTGTACTCAATCATTGGTGGTTATACATGGTTTATTGAGATCAAAGAACTCATCTGAAGGACAAATGCAGTGGAGGCTCGTAGATTAAAGGCATTGTTGTTCTATCACTTGGTTGTTACTTGTACTTTGACCTAATCTATTGTAAAGGTCAATAATCTATATAACTTGATGCTTTTGTTATATGGAATGAAAATTATGTTTTCTTGGAACCATATATATACTTTGTATGTTCAAATGATATTGCTCAAGTGGGCCAAATCAGGCATCCATAGTATGAAACAACCATTTGGTACCATAAAATGACAACCATGAATTAATAGCAAGAGTCATTAATTGTAAGCATAGCCACAAAAGGAAGTTCATATCACCATAAAAGTAAATAATATAGTTGCTAGACACCACATCAAAGCAAAGCAAAAGACACTAGAGCTAGTACCACAAAATGAAGTTCATATGACCACAAAAGAACTGGTACCACCACATCAAATTGCCCGATTTTCATGTCCCTTACAAGTCCTGCCACTGGTTATCTCTTTTTGCACTGGATACAACTCACAGTCTTCCTTATCTTTTAAAGCTTTGAAATTTTGATTACAAAAAATGGCTTAATTGCTTAACACTCTTCCTTTTCTTCTCTTTTGGTCTACCAACCTATGTGTGAATTGTGATGAAGTGGTGGAGTTAGGCTGACTTTTATGTATGTATTAATGTATGTGTGTGTATATATCAATATATGTATTTAATATTAATTTATGTTTTATACATAATATACTTAATTTTTATTTATTTAAAAAAAGAAGGTAAAAAGATGGACTTGCCCAGTTGATCCTTCTCATCCTCCTCAGCGATTTGATGACGATAACTTTATGTACTTGGTGAATTCTAGTAACAAATTCTAGATGTTAGCAAACTACCACTAATGGGCTGTTTACTAGGCGCTGACTGGTCAGCAGTCAGCTTGTTTACTAAATTATCGCTCTGACTGAAATCTGACTGGTATGCTGACCGAGCACTTACCGAGACAGCACAAAAATGATGCTTACCCGGGTCATATTTTTATTTTCCATGTGTGCCCTTTTCACGATTAGGTTTCTTCTCGATTCTCCTCCTCCCCTCTCCCACCCTCGTCACTCCCGACCCTAGTCACTATGGCACTTATCATTCTCGTGAATGAATGAGAAGTTTGTATCAACAATTGATCATGTGGCGTTGATCCCGATAGTTTTCGTGCAGTCTCGATTCCATGGCCGAAAATCGATATCTCATTGAGGTAAAACATGATCAAACCACCACAAGAAATAACAATCAACGAATGGAGAAGACAAATTACGAAGAACCCAGATGATTCCATGAGCCGAAAACAAAAACCTAGATTCTAGATCTTCGAATTGAAGCAGAAATTGGTGTGTTTCTCAATGTCGTATAGAACGGTGTTGATGGAAGATGAAGGCAGAGATACGATCCATGGCGATTGGGGAAATCAGGGCCTAATTGTGAAAATATTTAGAAGGTTTATAGAAGAAGATGATAAACCCTGGATTTCGATTTTGGGATCTGATCTGAAATTGGGAATGGAGATGGAAATCGGAAGAATCGATGCGAAGAAAACGGAGTAAGAAAGAGCGGAGGAATGGGGGTGTATTGGGAGAAGTGCATTGTAAATTAGGTTGAACTTTTGTCGTTTATTATATTTTCTACAACTTGCAATATATGGTTTATTTCAATGCTTCGGTATGGGCATGGATATAGCTAAATCTTTTCTATATTATTACATATAACTACAAATAGGGTTATAATGGTAATTTTATTGTTGGTAAACACTTACTAAAAACATTTGGTAAACACTCTTACTTGGAACAACACTTACCGGAACAACACTTACTCAGGTCAACAATCATACCCGGTAAGAGTTGGTAAACCACCCCTAAGTCTATTTAGTGATTGTTGGAAGTTTACTTTGTAGTTAGAACTTATGACTACTATCTCTGAATGTTTTATCAATTATTATAATAGCATACTTAGTTATTTTATTCTATGTAACCAATTTAGTGAGCTAAAGACAAAGCCTCACATACCAAATAAAAACTTCATGATATATCGAAGAAGTAGCTGAAGATAAAGACATGAAGACCTGAAGCTGTTTCAGTGAGTCATCCTAACTAAAGATGTGAGAACTAATTAAGCAAGAACTCAGCAAAAACTGAAGAAAGCCTCAACATCATCTTTCTAGTTGAACATGAATCTTTCTTATCAAGCCTAAGTCTTTATCCACTCTTGCAAAAGTCAAAATCCATGCACTATGTGATAAAAGATACAATACGACCACTGTTTTATTGTCCCTTCAAGCATGAGCACTCCCGTGGTGCACTGTTTATATCCCGCCAAAGTATGCCCAACTCAAGGATAAGTTGTACCAACAAGACTCTCCCTAAATGACACAGGGATTGTACCAACCTCTTGCATTAATTGCACATGGTATAATAACCAAGTAATTCTTCATTCTTAGTGTTGTCCAAAAAGTCAAGCTTCTCCATTTCTTTTCTTCTCTCCTGCTGTTTCTGTGCAAGAGTGTATGTATGATTCTATAACTTTGTTTTCTAGAGATTCTTAGTGCTCTCCGAAATCAAAATTAGATTTTTTAGAGGTTTTATGCTTTATCTTCTTCTGCAAACAATCTGTAAATTGATGTATTGATTCTTCCCATGATCAATAAAAGAATTTGAAAAGTTAAAAAAAATGTTTGTATTCAACCCCTTCTATAAACCCTAACAGGCTTGATGCACCTCCCGGGACCAATAACTAGTATTAAAGTAGTGTTCTCATTCTTTTTCTCTTCCCATCTGATCCAACTATGGATGCTAAGAACTATAATGAAAATGGTTCTCTTGGCAGACCTCCCAGATTCAGTAGAGAAGACTTCTCTCTAGAGAATAATCGTATGTTTCTATTTCTTGAGGGTGTGGCTCCTCAAATCCCACAGTACATCAGAAATGGACCACTCGTTCCATTTTTCACCATTGATGTTGTTTTAGCAATTGGCACACACTCTAGAACTTCTGAACGTGTGGTTGCGAAAAAAATTCAGCAAAAGGCAAAAACTGTCATTGCCGTGTGTTGGTCCCAAATGGATTCTACAAGAGTAAGGTAACAATTTGTAGATGGGGAAGGTTGAATACCAACGCATCATTTTCACCTCTTTAAATTCATTTATTAATTAAAGAATATCAATACATAATTTACTGATTGTTGGAGAAAAATATAAGTTTAAAACCTAATATAAACAATCTTTAGAATCACACAGAAGATGCACAAAGAAAGATAAGAACAAGAGAGAAAAGAGTTGTACAGGAAGAAGAAGGTGTTTTTGAGAAGATGATTCTTCTCAGCTATTTATACCCATTGCATTTAATACAAGTCAGAGGGTACAAGTCAAGTGACAAACTTCTATTGGAGAGCTTGTCCTTTGTCT